GCCGATCGATCGGCACACCTCTAATAATGCTAATATCCACAGTCAGTGACTCAGTTGATCACATACTGCTGTGAACTACAGTTATAGATATTCAGACTTGTAGACTTTTAGTGTCAGATTTTGTAAAAAATAAAAATAAATCAGTGTTGCAGATTGAAATAATGTCAGGAATATTCGGACATTTTGAGTTTCATGTGAATCTGCTGCTGTTGCTCCGTTTCCTCCCCATCACCTTCCTGCTGTTTGTGTCTGCAGGTGAACGGGACAGAGGCTGAATATGAGTACGAGGAAATCACACTGGAGAGGGTAAGGACCGGCGGCTTCAGGGTTTAAACCTCTGCTTCATCAGGAACTCTGCAGCGCTTCAGTCTCACATCAGCCTGAAATTTAGGTTTAAAACTCGCTTAATCTGGAGCTGTCTCAGAAAAGTCCTAAAACGTTTAGTAAAAACTACAACATGGAAGCAGCAGGTTTCTGTATGTCCGTCCCAAACCAGATAGAGACAGTGTGACTCGTTTTGTTGTTTAACGAGGTTAGAAACTCAAATGATAAAATATTTTAATTATCATAAAAACATGGAAGCTGAGCATGTTTTGTGGCTTTGATGCAGGGAAACTCTGGGCTGGGCTTCAGCATCGCCGGAGGGACCGATAACCCCCACATCGGTGAAGACCCCAGCATCTTCATCACCAAAGTCATCCCTGGAGGAGCAGCTGCTCAGGATGGACGGCTCAGGTAGCAGCGCAGTTCATGAGGATCTTCTCTTTATGGTTTAACCTTGATGCTTAAAAAGATGCCTGTAACCATGGCAACGCTCAGATCTGTCCAACCAGATTAACATCTTCCTGATTAAAAGTTTAAGTAAACAGATAATCAGGGAACAGCATCGCTGCACTGCAGTGCCATGTTGGCGGCTAAGCTAACTGCAGCTACTGTAGAACAATGGCAACAATAGCTAGTGTTTATCTGAGGTTAAGATCCCAGCATTAACCAAAGAGCATTGTGGGTAAGACACCAGACACATGAAGGAAACGGAGAACATGACGACACGGAGCCTTATTCAGGTGCCGCACCCTGAATAAGATTCATGAAGCAAATTCATGCTTCTAAAAACACATTAAGTTCATTAAATATGTACATATGTTGTGTTTAATCTTGTATATTCTGTGTAGCACTGTTTTTTATTTTGTGGGACTTTTCTATCAGGTAAAGTCTGAGACATCTTGAATCTTCAAAACGTTTTGTGACTCAAAGGGGTTGAGGCTATTGCTAACTAGCTGCTAGCATGATGTCAGTCCAACTGTAGAGGTGGAAGGTTAGCTACTGACTACAGAAACTATTTTAACAGCCAACAGCTGATAATAATAATAATAATAATAATAAGTCTTTAGTTTTATGTGAAATTGTTGTGTTAAGATCATTTTATTATTTCTAGATTAGACAGTTAAGATGCTACACTAACATGGAAAATATCATAGATAACGGTTAGCTTGTCCGCATAAATAACACTCTGGTGTTACTGTTAGCATAAAATCTGACATGAGTAAAACTGTTAATTTCAGTAAAGATGAACTGTTAGCATGGAGCCGTTAGCTTAAAGCCTCCATCTTGTTTTTACTGAATCAGTTTGGATGTTTTATTTTCCTCTGCTGTCAGTTCATCACTGATGTGTATTTATTAAATATTGACTCAGTTAAACACATGATCCAAATCAAACTGAGTTCTGATGAAGGTTTAACGTTTCTCCCAGGAAACGTTACACGTCTTTAATTAATAATGAAGAAATTCATTAAAATATTTTAAAGGGGGAATAAAGTGGGACAGGATTTTAGGAGACGACAGTAAATGATGTTGATAACCTGTTTGGTTCTGCTTCAGCATCAGGGAAGGTCCTGATCCAGAGATGATGATGAGCTCAGGTTACCTGTTGATACCTGCTGTGTTTGTGTTGCGCCTCAGGGTGAACGACGTCATCCTGCGGGTGAACGAGGTGGACGTCCGGGACGTGACCCACAGCCGGGCCGTGGAGGCGCTGAAGGAGGCGGGGTCTCTGGTGCGCCTCTACATCCGGCGGAGGAAACCGCTGTCGGAGAAGGTGATGGAGATCAAGCTGGTGAAAGGACCCAAAGGTCTGGGCTTCAGCATCGCGGGCGGCGTCGGGAACCAGCACATCCCCGGAGACAACAGCATCTACGTCACCAAGATCATCGAAGGCGGCGCCGCGCAGAAGGACGGCAGGCTGCAGATCGGAGACAAGCTGCTGGCTGTGAGTCCCTGAACCGCACAGCCAACATGGCCGCCGGGGGCTCTGGTGTCCATCATGGCCGCCCTCTGACGTTCCTCTCTGTGCTTCCAGGTGAACAGCGTCTGTCTGGAGGAGGTGACCCATGAACACGCCGTCACTGCCTTGAAAAACACTCCTGATGTTGTCTACTTGAAAGTGGCAAAACCCAACAGTGTCTTCATGAACGACAGCTTCGCCCCGCCAGACCTCACCAACTGTGAGTCCAGCTGCTGCTGCAGCCGCCAGAACCGTCCTCTGGTTCTGGAAACCATCTTTATCTCAGCTGATGGAGGGCTGAACAGCCGGCTGCCGTCATCCTGAGTCACACAAACAAGTTCCTTAAATGATTCACTTCCTGCTGATTCTCCAGCAGATCACCAAACTTTCCCTCTGGAATCGGCAGCAGTTTCTACAGAGCGACTGGAGTTTTCACATGTCGCCATAAATGTCTCCAGTAACAGAAAAAAGTTATTCGTCATTAGTTGTTTTTTTTTTCCTCAGATTTGTCGCTGGTCAATTTTTTCCAAAACAGTTGCTTGATTTGTTGCAGGTCTATTTCTTTAAAAAACAACAAAAAAAGTTGCTGAATTTGTGACTGAAAAGCTGCTACATGTAGAGACAAAGCTGCTGAGCTGGTATCGGTGCTTCTCTCATCCTGACCTCTGCCCTCCACTCATCCCGTCACATTTGGCCACGCCCATCAGTCTGTCTTGGCTCCGCCCCTTTTGATGAGTTTGTTTCTAAAATTTGGGGGCGGGGCTAAGCTTTGACAGTTATATGAAAGTTAACTGCCAAACTTAAACTCACTAAGTTCTTAAACTGAGTTTATCTCGGTGAGTTTTTAATGAAAGGTGGAGAGATTCTGGATTTATTGAGATTTTCTCTGTTTGGATTTTTTCTTGTTAATTCCTGATGATCCTTTAAATGTTTAATCTGAAAAATCTTTGGGAAACCTTCCAGTTATTTCAGAGGAGTTTATTTGAGGCAAAGCGAGCTGATTGGCTCCCCCCTCCTCCCGATGGCTCTGGTCTCCATCAGGTGGTAACCGGAGCCAACAGGTGGGGGAGGGGCCAGGTGGGTCCAGTATTCACCTGCTCCTCTCTCCGGTTCTGTTCCAGCCTACACGCAGCACATGGAGAACCATATCAGTCCCCCCAGCTTCCTGGGCCAGACCCTCCCCCCGCCGGCGTCGTCGGGGCGATACTCGCCGACGCCAAAGGGCATTCTGGGAGAAGATGACGTCACACGGTGAGGACATTGTTTAGGTTTCCTGACGCTTGTTGCTTCCAGCAGCCAGACTTTGTGTTTTCCGGATCAGAACCAGTGAGGTGTAGTTCTGTAACCAGATCTGACTGCTGCTGGTTTCCATATTAAAACATGCATGAATGATGAAGGTTCAGGTGTTTAAACTCCGGCTGATGCTGGGAACAAAACGCTTCAGGTTTCAGTTTCAACCGAACTTTTCACTTTTATCAGAACCTGAGCAGCAACAGAATGAGATAAATGGAAAATAATGAAACTATCAGCCACGTTACAGTTCTCCACCTTTGATAAATTTAACAAACTGCTGAGGTTCTGCAGGCTTCAGCTGTTTACTGTGAGCCCTGGTATCCATCGGGGTCAAAGTTCACAGGCCGTAACCAAAACCTGACTCTCCCTCTAAAAACTCCAATAACTGCAGACTTTAGCAGGTTATTATACATCAACACACAGTGGGAATCGTTTTAGCACAACCACAGAAGCTAATAGAAACAAATGGCTGGAGCTCCTGGATTGGCTGCTTTGCTAACCTGAGGTCAGGTGACCTGAGGATGACGAGCGGCTGTGTGACCGCAGGGAGCCGAGGAAGGTGGTTCTGCACCGCGGGGCGACGGGTCTGGGCTTCAACATCGTGGGCGGCGAGGACGGAGAGGGCATCTTCATCTCCTTCATCCTGGCCGGCGGTCCGGCCGACCTGAGCGGGGAGCTGAGGAAAGGAGACCGCCTGGTGTCGGTAGGAGCTCCGCCCACTAAACCATCCCACGCTCTGATTGGTTCAGACCAACAGATGATGTTCCCGCCTCCAGGTAAACGGCGTGGACCTCCGGAACGCCACGCACGAGCAGGCCGCCGCCGCCCTGAAGAACGCCGGCCAGACGGTGACCATCGTCGCCCACTACAGGCCAGAAGGTGAGGCTACCTGAGGGAGGATGGCCTCCAGGACTCACCTGGGCATCACTGACCCGCCGTGTTCTCTGCTCAGAGTACAGCCGGTTCGAGGCCAAGATCCACGACCTGCGGGAGCAGATGATGAACAGCAGCATCAGCTCGGGCTCCGGGTCGCTGCGGACGAGTCAGAAGAGGTCTCTCTACGTCAGGTGAGGCGGTTCACCTGGAGGTCAGCATTGACCAACCTGGTTCATTCACTCTGTTTGTGTTGCGCCTTAGAGCTCTGTTTGAGTACGACAAGACGCGGGACTCGGGTCTGCCCAGCCAGGGCCTCAACTTCAAGTTCGGGGACATCCTGCATGTGGTGAACGCCTCGGACGACGAGTGGTGGCAGGCCCGGCACCTGACGCCTCAGGGGGAGCAGGAGGAGGTGGGGGTGATCCCCAGCAAGAGGAGGTCAGTCCCACCGGAGCTGCTGGGGTCAGAGGGCAAACTGTCCAGGTGATAGCTCAGAGACAGGACAGGTGAACATGTAGACTCCTCATGGTGACCCAGTGGGACCTGCTGATGGGACCAGAACAATCCTCCGCTTGGTTTGATCCTCCGGTTGACGACAGCAGCCGGACGCTTTCTGCTCAACTTTGTTTCTTCTTCTGTGGTTTCTGCAGAGTGGAGAAGAAGGAGCGAGCGAGATTAAAGACGGTGAAGTTCAACGCCAAGTCAAGAGACCGAGGGGTGAGTCCTTCTGAAAGAAACCAGAAGATGCTAATGTCTCTGGTTTTAGAGTAGAACTGATCAAATGTTTGAAACATGGAAGCATTTTATCTGCTGCATGATCTTTGACTCTCTGCCTCCAGCCATGTGGATTTAAAGTGTTTGAGCTGCTGCCACCTGATCTCTCCACCTACTAATGACTAATGTCTGCAACCTCTGGCTGTTAGCCACCGCTAGCCCGTTAACCGTTAACAGATTTTTGTTTAACAATTAGCAACATCAGGCCAGATAACCGTTTGTATTTTATAGTCCGTTAACTTCTGGACGTTAACAGTTAGCAACCTTTAATCGTCTCAGGCTTGTTAACTTTTGGCCCGGCCTCTGATCCGTACCAATGGACAGGAGGTTAGGAACTCCCTGTCCGTTAGCAGTTTCTTGTCCATTAACTGCCTCTGGCCCATTAGCCGTTAGCAGCGCCTGGCCCGTTAGCCGTCAGCAGCGCCTGGTCCGTTAGCCGTCAGCAGCGTCTGACCCATTAGCCGTTAGCAGCGCCTGGTCCGTTAGCCGTCAGCAGCGTCTGGCCCGTTAGCCGTTAGCAGCGTCTGGCCCATTAGCAGCATGCCCACCTGAGACTCAGCAGCAGCTCTTCCTTTAGAACATGTGCTACTTTAACATGCGTCGCCCACAGAACCTGCATGACCTCTGACACCCTCACAAAGAAACGCTTGACATTGATGTCTGACTGCCTGCTTCGTCCCTCCCTCCTCTTCCTCTCTCTGATTCCATCGGTCGCTCCAGCAGCTCGAAAGTCTGTCAGCTTCAGATTCAAACTTCTGGAGAATAAAAAACTAAACTGTAAGCAAAATAATAAATTATTGTCATTTAGTTACATGTAGAAATAAGCAACTTTGTATTAAATTATCCCAAATTAAGTAAGGATCATTAAATTACAGTGCTGCCCTCTGGCGGCCAAACCATGATTTCATTTCTAACTAAATATTTCCAAAGTTCTGTTTCCATGATCTCGTTTTTAATTAAAACATATTTAACTTGTTTTATTCTATGATTGATTATGTTGCTCAGCGTCATTTTAGCTGAGATGTGATTGGTTAGAGCGCATCCTTCTGGTCGATGTTTCAGATTAACCTCCAGCTCAGTTTAATCTACAAGAATTAATTTAATGGATTAAATCCAGATTAGATGTGAATTAACGGGTCTGGACACTGATGGGGAGTAAATGCTGCCTCAGCAGCTGACTGACAGCAACAGGTGGAGGAGGGGAGCCGTTTGTCCAAACCAAGCTGTGGACCCAGAACCGGGCTGGGCCGGGCCAGGACGGGTCCACAGCTTCCTGCCTGCTGCCTCTAACTTCCTGCTCGTCTTCGGCATGCCCCCTCCCTCCTCTTCCTCACCGCTGTGCTGCCTTCACTGATTCTGAGGAAATCCCAGCTCTAACAGAACCACAGTTACCAGACCGGGTCGGGACCAGAACCTCTGGCTCCGGGACCCAGATATGGGCCAGGGCCTGACCTGACCTTTGACCTCTGAGCTGTCTGTGCCGTTAGCAGCAGAGACGTCATCATCCAGCCCTCTTCCTCTCCCGTTTTGTTTTCATGCCCTTCCTCTTCCTCAGCAGTCCATCAATGACAAGCGTAAAAAGAACCTCTTTACCCGAAAGTTTCCTTTCTACAAGAGCAAAGAGCCGAGCGAGCAGGAGACCAGCGACGCCGACCGTAAGTCCCCGCCGGCCCGTTGCTCCACGGCAGGAAGAGAGATCAGCTGGCGGCGGCACGCACAGCGGTCGTCATGGCAACAGCCCTGGGCTCCCAACAACCTCTCAGATTGGGCTAACGGCTAAAACCGATCCAGAACCCCAGACAGGAAGTCCCTCCTTCCTGTTCCTGCGGGGAGCCAACATGGCCGCCCTGCCGACCCGCTGCGCTCCCTCTGCTCTCTCGTCTGCCGCCGGATCTCAGTAACTCTGTGTTTCTCTGGTTGTTTCTGTTTCTGCCGACCGCAGGACAACAACGACGACCCGACCAACAAAAGCCACAGTGAGTAGAAACGCTGCAGGCGGCGGGCCGAGCGTCTCCACCAGGAGGACGGACGTCCTGCCGTCCCACTGTCCCTCTATGGGGACGTCCTGCTGTCCCACTGAGGGACGACCGGCTACTGTCGGGTTTCAGCTAAAAAAAAACTAGAAACTATGGATTCATCATTTCTTTATTAATCTGGATTAATTCTGTGAATTTAGGTTTTTTCCTGAATTATAGCTGAGACCCCAAAACAAGAAAAAAAAATATCTTCTATTAATAAATAAAAAGTAGAAAATGTTGATATTAATGTAATATTTTATAGTTTTTTGGTAAAATTTCAGGGTTTTTTTAGCTGCAGTTCAGAATTGATTCTGAAAAGTAAAATGTTTTTAAAGCGTTTTTGTCCTGGTGGAGACGCAGGCTGAGACCTTCATCCTCCTCCTCCTCCTCCTCAGACCTTCATTTGTTCGTTTGTTTCTCATCAGCGTTTCGTTTCGTTGCTCTGCAGTTGGTCCAACATCCTGGACCTTCTCAAAGTTCAATAATTCAAAAATACTTTATTTATCCCAAAGGGACATTAAATGTTGGTGTAACTCAGATAGGTTAAGAATCCTCAGAGTCGTTGTGGACGGTGATGCTGCGGGCTGGAAGGAGATCCTGTAGCAGTCAGTCTCACAGTGACTGCTACAGGATCAGAGCAAAAGCAAATGAGGCGGATTAGCAGAGCTGCTAACAGCTCAGTATCCAGCCAGCAGAGACGGTGTTCCACAGTAACAGGCTGGATGACTCCACCAGCTGTTAGCAGCTCTGCTAATCCGCCTCCTTTGCTTTTGCTAGGATTCGGTGCTGGAGTTGGGGATAAGATCCTTCAGCCATGTTCCTCTGAATAAATGTAAAACTCTTAGCGATGCTCTGAACCTCCTCCTCCTCTCTGCTCCATGAAGCTTTTCACTCCTCTGGGCTTTGGGGTCAAAGTTCAGGTATTATTTGAGCTTTTGAGATGCTAATCAGCTGCTCCAGGTGTAAAAACAGCATCTTGTTGCCATGGTTACCCATCATAACTGTAGTAAACTCAGAGCAGAAATCCTTCATGCTGCACAGCATCCAGAACCAGAGGGAATAACGGTCTGGAACCAGAACCAACCAGAACCACAGAAATGTTCTGACGGTTCCCAGATGGAGCAGAAACTTCCTGGTTCCACCAGATTCTGACCCGGAAGTTACATCTGGGTTCTGATCGGTTCTGCTGCTTTCCAGCAGAGTGGAACCAGAACCAGAGTGTGTTGGACCGCTGAGTGATGGACCAATCAGAGAGCTGGATCAGAGTCCTGGTTCTGTCCAGCTGGACGTTACAGAACTGGACCATCCTGGTTCCTGCTGTGATCTGGACCTACAGTCTGACCCGGTTCTGCCCCGACTTCATGGACTGGTCCATCGGGTCTCTGAGCTGCTGGACGTGTTAAACTGAATCGATGGCCGATGTTTTGTGTTTTAGAAAAATTACCTGAATTTTAATCAAGGCTTTTATTGTGAAAGGTTCAGTTTGGAGGCTCCTGATTGGTCGGTGGTGTGTTTAAATGTGAGGCAGCAGACTCTGTACCCATCTGTGCGTCATTATATTTCTGTGGATTCATAAAACTCTGCCGTCGAGGCCGGCTCGGAGCAAAGCATTGTGGGAACGCTGGCGTCTGATTGGCTGTTTCCTGTGATTTCAGAACACGTGACGTCTAACGCCAGCGATAGTGAAAGTAGCTACCGTAAGTTTTCCCGCCGTTCTGCCGACGGTTCACTAATGATCAGAAGTCTTACGGCTAACCTATTAGCTTAACGAATGCTAACTGCTGATTGGTTTATAACGGCTAACCCATTAGCTTAATGAATGCTAACTCCTGATTAGTTCATAACGGCTAACCCATTAGCTTAACGAATGCTAACTGCTGATTGGTTCATAACAGCTAACCCAGCAATTAGCTTCACGAACTCTGACTGCTGATTGGACAGATAAAACATGACATCACAGCTCATCTCTGCTGTTTAATCAAAGTTTCTTCAGGCTGGTTCTGTTCTGGTTCTGGGGTTTTGGACCAGATAGTTTCTGGACCTTTAAAGTTTATAATTTCTGTTTTCTGTCTGTGGAGCTTTAAATATTTAATTCCTCCTCAGATTGAGATTATTGATCCATTCATTGATCATCATGTTTCTGAAAAACATCTGGATTATTTATTATTTCATTTGAACAGTTTTCATGTTTATCACTGGTGAATAAATTAAACTGGTTTGTGAATCCAAGCAGTCCCAGTCTGAACTGGTTCTGGTTCTGTTTGGTTCTACTGAGGTCAGAGCTTCAGGCAGCTCCAGATCTGACCCAGTGGTTCTGATGTGATGATTCTGGATCATATCTTGAGCTGAAGGCCACAGACAGAACCTGAATCTGAACCAGAACCTTTAACCTGATGGAGTCGGGTCCGGTTCCTGTTCTGGGTCCGGTTCCTGTTCTGGGTCCGGTTCCTCGTTTTAACCTGAGCTCTGCTGACTTTGTAAAGTTTTAAATAAACGTGTTTTTGTTTCTGGTCGTTGATTTAACCCAGTGGGTCCAAACTGGGTCCTGGAGGCGTCCTGCATGGTTCAGTCTCTCCCTGGTTTAACACACCTGGATCCAGTGATGGATCATTAGAGCTTCAGAGGATCACCGACCTGCTGAGGAGGTTGTTACTGCCAGCAGGGGGAGACTGAAACATGCAGGCTGCCGGGCCTCCAGGACCCACTTTGGACACCCCTGGTTTCAGCGTTTCTTCCTGAAATCGAGGCGCCGGTCCGTCTGTCCGTTTTCCTGTTTCTCCTGCTGACCCTCCGTCCCTCAGCACCACTCCTCCTCTTCCTCCTCTGTGTAACGTCTCTGTTTCTCCTCAGGTGGGCAGGATGAGTACGTTCTGTCGTATGAACCCGTCGTTCAGCAGGAAGGTGAGTTCTCCAGAACCGACCCGATCCGACAGGCTGCTGAAGCTTCAGCAGCTGAAAGAATCGCAGATTTAACTCAGAACCGATCAGAACCTCAGCGGTTCTCCTGGGTTCCTCCTCATCCGTCCAGAACCTCCAGATTCTCTGGAATAATAAAATAATTCTGATCTGGATCCGAATAATTTTTAAGAATTCAGAAAATTATTTTAAAAAACAAACTTGAAACATTTTGGATTCATCAACTCAGTTTAGACATTAAATTATTATTATTACTGGATACTAAATATGAAAACAAATAAAACAATTTTAATGTAGAACTTGATAAACTACATAACAGAAAAATGAAAATATATTTCAGTGATGTTTAAATAAATTCATGAAATTTAAATATAGGTTTATGATGATGGTATTTTTTAAATACAGGTTGGACGAATCTATATTTTAATATAGATAATCCATTGGTTAAATGGGAAAGTACAAATATTTTCATCAAATTAAGAAACTGAGGATTAAAAATATCTTTGAAAATTTTCTATTTTAAGTTTCAGGATTAAATGTGTGTCAAGTTTAAGATGTTCTTAATTGAACTTCAGTCATAAATCAGATTAAAGTAAAAATAAAATATGTGTAGATTAGAGCTGTACAGACGGTGATGCTGCCACCTGCTGGACAAACTGGTAAAAACATCTGGTAGAAATAAAACAATTAGATGAAAATCTGAACATCAATTTTAATGTTTTATCTTTTAATAAAAGCATAAATTGTTAAAAATCTAAATGTTTTGATTAGAACCAGAACCATTCTGCTCAGAAACGGGTTTTCTTCTTCTCTGGCAGTGAACTACACCCGACCCGTCATCATCCTCGGCCCGATGAAGGACCGGATCAACGACGACCTGATTTCTGAATTCCCAGATAAATTTGGCTCCTGCGTCCCGCGTACGTCCAGCCGGCGCCGCTCCTCTGACCCGACCGGACCGGTTCAGACCCTATCGGACCCAGGTAACGGCTGTCCCTGTGTGCAGATACGACCCGGCCCAAACGGGACTACGAGGTGGACGGGCGGGACTACCACTTCGTGGCGTCGCGGGAGCAGATGGAGAAGGACATCCAGGAGCACCGCTTCATCGAGGCGGGCCAGTACAACAACCACCTGTACGGAACCAGCGTGCAGTCCGTCCGCCAGGTGGCCGAGAAGGTACGGAACCGCCCCGCTTCGGGCCGCGGCTCGGCCCGGAGCGGAGCCTGAGTTCTGGTTCTGTTCAGGGGAAGCACTGCATCCTGGACGTGTCCGGCAACGCCATCAAGAGGCTGCAGCTGGCGCTGCTGCACCCCATCGCCATCTTCATCAAACCCAAATCTGTGGAGAACATCATGTGAGTGACCCGATCCGGTCTGATCCGATCCAGAGTTCTCTCCAGCCCTGACCCGGTTCTGCTCTTCATGCAGGGAGATGAACAAACGTCTGACAGACGAACAGGGAAGGAAAACCTTCGACCGCGCCGCCAAGCTGGAGCAGGAGTTCACCGAGCACTTCACAGGTCAGAACCGGGTCTGAATCGGGTCAGATCAGGTTGGAACCGGGTCAGAACCAGGTCTGTTTAACCTGTTTGTTGGTACTGACCCGTCCTTTTGGTCCAGTTCTTTGTAACATTATAAATCCAGATGAAACCAGAACTTTTAGTTTCTGAAGACGGAGGAAACGAATCCCAGGTTTTAATTGGAGGATTCTGTTTAAAGGGACAGTGTCGTGTTTTCCAGGCACATGGAGCCACTTCATAACATAATCAAGTAACTCTGTTTCCGTCAGTTGCTATAAAAATGCTCCATAAATCAAAAATGACTCAAAAGAAATTTGATTTTGTAATTTCACACCTTGAGATTGGGCCTCTGTTTCTGTAAGAAACTCCTGCTGATTCTGAAGCTCCGCCTCCAGGAAGTCGTCCCAACATGGCTCCTCTATTAACCCTTTAACATTTCAACCAGCATTGCTCTGAGCAGCAGCTCCTGCAACGAGCTCAGCTGTTTGCTAATTGCTGCTGGCTAGTCTGAAGGAGCTGAGCCTCAAAGGAGGGGCTAGGTCCACCCAGGCGTTTTCACAGCTGAATGGTTGCCATGGAGATTGAAGGATTTCTCCAACATGCATGGAAGTTGATTTTACATGATACTGGCCCTTTAAGGTTCTGATTGGTTCTGTTTGGTTCTGATTGGTTCTGCTGTGTTTTGGACCCACCTCCTCTGTCCTCCTGCAGCCGTCGTCCAGGGCGACACGCTGGAGGAGATCTACGATCAGGTGAAGCAGATCATCGAGGATCAGTCGGGTCCGTTCATCTGGGTTCTGTCCAAGGAGAAGCTATGAGGCGCCGCCCTCCTCTTCATCACTTACGTTATTCTGGAAGAAGAGTCCAGCTGCAGAGGCAGCCTCACCGTCCATCATCCAACCATCCATCCATCATCCATCCATCCATCCATCCTTCCCTCAGTGATCAGCAGACGGCTTCATGTTGTTCCACCTGATTTGGAAGCTCACAGGAAGTGACATCACACTCGGCACGGTACAGCTCCTTAATGTTTAAGGACGGAGAACTTCGGAGGAGAAGAGTTCGGAAACGTACGAAGCAGATTTTCTTCCTTTTTCTTGTTTTTTTTGTGGGTTTTTTCCAGCCGGCTCCGTTTGTCGGGTCGGAGGAATCAGAGACACAAAAAGCAAAACTTTGCACGTTTGAGCTTTAACAGCATGTCGGTTTAAACCCGTTGATTTCCCATCAGCCCCTTCACCTCAGCGTCTGACATCACAGCTTCTGTCACAGCTTTTCTTTTCTTTTTTATTGATTCATATTTAGTTTTTAACATTTTCGCTCCTCTGCTGCATGACGTCTGTCAGGAAGCTGCAGGGTCACCGCTCTGCCACCAGAGGGCGCCAAACAAACCCATCCTGAAAAACAAGCTGATTTTAAAATAAACAGAAATGATTAGCGATTTATTAGGCTGAGTCAAATTCACATTGATTTAAACTAACAGCTTCATTTGGGAAATTTAAGACTAAATACAAAGAAAAACGTTCTAAATGAACTTTTGTGCCAAAAATCAAACACATTTTATCATATAAAGTAAAATTGTAGGAAAGCCTGTTTATTTTAATAATAGAACATTTTATAATACTATAAAATTCAGCTTTAGAAAGTGAGAAATTAAAAGAAAATGTTAAATATTTTCCCATTTTAGTAAAAAAAAATTAGAAACAAAATTTTAATGATTTTGTTTTTAGATTAAAGAATTATCCTATTTTTTAATGACAAAATATTAAAAATTATTATATTTTTCTTTTAGTTTTGTTAAAATTGTGCCAAATGTTTCATGTAACCAAAAAATAAATAAATAAAAACATAAATGTGCACAATTTATGTCAAAATATTTCAGTGATTGAATTAAAACTAAAGGAACAAAAATCATAAAACTTTTAATATAAAACAGGAATGAAATTAATTGGATGAAATTTAAAAATTCACATATAAAAATATTTTGTTTCATTCTACTGAGACATTCTCCATGATTCTGAATTTAAATGTTTAAAATCTTAATGTTTTTATTTTCATGTTTATTTTCAGTTAGAAATAAAATTATATAATTAAAACCAAAAACTCAGGAATGAAGAAAACATTTTTTGCCTTAGGATTAAAAAATCATAAATATAAAAAACATTATTTTTACAAGCTCAGTTGCACATCATGAATTTTTAAAAAATGTTTCAAGAAATTAACAGAATTTAATCATACCTGCTACAGATAACTTAAAAATATAAATATTTACAAAGTTTACAGTAAAATCAATATATTTACTTTTAAAACCAGTTTACCTCATTCTGACATAAAATCCTCCAAACTGCATTAAGTTAAATCTTAGTTTTTTCTCTTCCTCTGGTTTTCTCCTCGTTACCATGGCGACACCAGAGCCAGTCGTGCTCAGTGGCGCCCTCTGTGGCCGAAGCGTGACCCCGGCAGTTGCTATGGCGACGTCCGTCAGCAGCGTCAGTGTCTTACCACGTGTTGTTGTGGCTGCGCCTGGAGCTGCAGCGCCCCCTGCAGGCGCTCGCAGGTGAATCAGAGATTTTGACAGATATTTAACCTTCGGTAAACTGCCTATTTTGTTATAATGAAAGTCTATATTGAACTTCGGCACTACTACGGGATTCTTTGCTTTGGTAATCATATGAATAGAGACGTATAAAGAGATTTGAATATGAATATATATATTTTTCTTTTTCTTTGATCACCACCTCCTTTGTCTTTTAATTTTCTTTTTTAAGCATAATAAAAAGTTAACAAGAAAACCAGAAGTGGACCTCGACTCGTCTTTCATGTCGGTTCTGTCTGGAAACAACCTGCAGAACCTCCAGTGGTTCTACAGGTCAGAGGTCACAGATAATTACAAAATATATATTTTATACACTTGTATGGAGAAATCTAGAAAGAACCAGAGACTCCAGCTGCAAAGGAGAACAAAATAATCTGGTTAAACCTGTCAGTGATTAAAGCTTCATTCAGTTTAAACCATCATTCATTTACCTTATCTCAGCTGTTTAAACAAAACTTAATAAATTATTAATATGCTTTAGTACAAAATGCTGGATGGTATTACGTTAGCTTTTAATTATTTTTACACTCTGCTTGAAATTACAATCTTGCTTTAAAAATAATATCCTGTAAGGAAGAAAGGAGAATAACAGAAGAATATTTCAGACGGACTGCATGGTAAAGTGTGTAAACACATATTGGAGAATGATGTATAATTTTCATGATGGATATCTGCAGCTCTCATGTTTCCTTCGTTCTGCTCATGGCGGCTCGATGGGAGTTTTATTCAGGTCAACATTAAATGCAGCAAACGGGAGAAAACGTGATGGACACCCTGGGTTATGTTAGCTGTGTTTCACTGCAGCCATTTGTTAATGAAGAACCGACCAGCACTTCAGGGAGGATCGACCTCTGACCTTTCTACTCTGTTGGATCCATGAAGACGGGTCAGACTTCATTCACATCACAGGCTTAACGCAGTAAATTAATAATATGGTGAAACATAAATGCATATCTTTATCTGCTTCCAGGATTAACCCCATGAGGTTTATTATCTCATTTTCCAGGTGTCCTTATGAAACTTCAAGTAACAGGAATAAGTAAATTTAAAATATAAAATGTCTTTGTATGTTGTTTTTCATGACATTATATAACTGTCAGAGCTTTGAACAGATAATTATAAACCTTAGATTCATTAGTCCCGTCACAGTAATCAGTAAATCAATTAATCACCTGATAAAATGAGCTCAATCATTTCCATTTATCATTTTTCTCTTTCTATCAAAAACTGGATGGCGAAGTTTTCAGTCTGGTGTTTCGGTCTCAGTTAAAGAAAAGCTGTGAAGCTGCAGCCTGATCTTCAGAAATCTGATTGATCCAGTTTCTGACACCAAACCTGAGGAGTAGCGACTAAATCTGATGTTTATCTTTGAACTAAACCAGTCAGTGAATTTTTTGGTTTAAGCTGCTTTTATAATCGTTGCTCTGATTTTTGCAGATCTTTTAATTCTCCAGAGATTCAGCAGAACCTTCAGCTGTTATCAAACCCAAACAGAAACTTTCAGATCCATTAATGTTCAGATCTAAAAACTTATTCAGTTCAATCAGATGCATCCAGTTCAGATGTTTTTTCTCTCTGTTCCGTCTTTTATGGGATTTTAGTAACAGTTTATGAAAGAGGCTTCAGCCGGTGTTGACCGCAGATAACTGGATTTATTACTGGAAGAAAACCTGAGAGAAGATTTCCTGCAGATCCCCTCAAATGAAGGATTTTGTCTTTACTGATGAACAGGTTTATTGTTACACCGTAAGAGTTGCGTGTACAAAGACAAAAGACACTGTGAGCTTCAAATGAACGACAACATAATGTTCACTTCTATCGACTCTTATTCAAAAACCAAACCAGTATTCTTATATAATAAAGCAAGTTTACAATTTCAATCAATCAATAAAATAAATTTATTTTTTTTACAAAGTAGACATACTTTGTGCCTCGATCAAGGAGGCCAATTATAAAAAGATACATTTAACAACCTTGTTGCAACTTGTTTTCCTTCTGTTGCCAAGCCGACGCTACATGATATAAACAGCTTTCATCAAAATAAAAGCATTTCAAAAACTGGAAGTCAACTAACAAAATAAAGGCAATAAGCGCTAAAAAGAAACAACAAATAAGTTGGGATTATTTACATTTCCCTATTCAGATCTAACTAAACGGTGTAAATAATTTAGCTATAAAATTCTCTGTGTCTCCATAATCATAAATATAGCAAACATTATTCTAAGAATGTTGATTTGTGACCACTAGAGGGAGCTGTGACCTTGGATTTAGCTGTAGTCTTCCAAAAATCATGGAGAAACACTTGAAACTCGTTAATCACAAACCATCCCACAGGTAAAACTCACTGTGAAAAAAGAGGCTGAAGGACTTTAACTTCAACTCTACAAGTCCTTCTGGGGGATCTGTCAGAAACTCAAAAACCCCAAAGTTAATTTTAAATATTCTGATCTGTAGATAACAATCCTAAGGTTTCAACATGAAGCCTCTTTCAAACAGAATTGCATCAAGAGTTCAGATTTTTAAAGTTGTGCTCTTTACTCTTTACAAAGAGTAAAGCCTCTGTTGTTTGTTAGGACAATTTGAGTCGACACGTTTTTTACTGTAAAGAAACAGATAAAGGTAAAACTGAAATCATTTACTAAATCCTGTTCAATGACTGGAAGGGGTTAATAAAAAATATTACATTTGTTACTGGATGGAAGTAAATAAATATGGCAGGTGGTAAAACAAAGTTTCCTCATTGTCCCTTTAAAAAGCTCTTTGTTTTGTTCCCTCATCCACATAACACACATTTACCATGACAGCAGTTACACCTCCCACTGTCTTCAGATCTCATCAAAATAATGTTTATCTTTTGTTAAAAAAACACTTTGTAGGTTCTCCATTAGCATAAACGTATATCAGAACATTTTAAATTTTAAGTGGTTTGTGGCCACTAGAGGGAGCTGTAACCCTGGATATGGTTTCACAAACACTTTGAACTGATTCAGCAAAAACTAAACACTGTTAAAAGTAAATATGCCTCATGACCTCTTTAAAATGTTATAAATGTCCTTTTAAAAAGTAAAAATTAAAACAAGGGAAAAACAAATATAATGGATTTTATTATTATTCTGCCAACCTGTCAGCTAGTCTGATCTGAGGTGTCGGCCATTTTAGTTTTGGATGTGTTCCCTGAGTCTGTATAAAATCTGTTTCATTAATTGGTGGCATGTATGAAACTCTGACCTTTTTTATATTTAGATCATAAACACCTGATGGACTGAAACAAACATTCAGAGTCAGAGTGACCTTCAGTCTTTCTGGAATCTGAATCATCTAAGATGTAGAAATATTAACATAAACCTGCAGCGTAAAAATAACGTCTTAAAATTCCACGTTTTTTTTCTCAAAGATTATTTAAGCTGGAGAATGATGGTTTTTATTTTTATAATTAAATATTAACCTGGTAGAAAGTCAGAAAAGTTTTGCTCAAACCTCATGTGTAATGGAAATCTGTTCTGTGCTTTTATGAAACTGTGGATTATAGTTTTATATGTATTTAAATACTTATTAGCAGGAAACAACATGGAGGGTCGTGTACTTTAGGTACATTCTTTGCATAACCAATGCAACAA